AGAGAAAAATGCATAAGTGTGATATTTGCAAAACATTAAACTCAAACTGGCGAATTAATTGTTGCTGTTTTTATTAAATATATTATTTAAATAATTGAATATAATAACATTTTTGTCATAATGATTGATATATACCAATAGAGTCACATGAAAAATATTTTTAATCTATTATGTTAAATTTTGTTACATAACTTTCACGTGAAAAACACACTCACGATGTTTTTTTTAGCAATTCAGCATTCTGACACTTTAGCAATTTAGTGCAAATTAATCAAGCTAATTAAATAACATGAAAACGTTTAATGAGAAATTAGTACTAATACGGCGTTTACATTGTGAAATTAAAATTAGATTAAAGCAATAATCAAGATTAAAGTACTTATCTCGTTGTTTAATCTCAGATAGCTCATTCAAAAGTTTTATAGTATTTACATTGTAAGATGAAAAGTAGATTAAAACAATAATCGAATCTAATTTCAGATTTCCCATACAAAAGTTAATCTCGTTTTGGTCGATCTCCTTAGAAATGGTGATTATTTTTCTGTGCAACTCTTCAAATGTCTTAATATAGTGGATTTTTTCATGATCTTATAAGAATTGGGAAAGAAATGTCAAAATCTATTCAAAGTAAACATTAAAAATTTGAAAATGCCGAAATGAGTGAAATTTTTATTAAATTCATTTAATAATTTTGTACATAATTATGACTAAAATTTGTTAAATTATTGTTATGAAACCACTTATAAAATTTATATTCTTTCACAAAATCGTAATTAAATGCTTTATTTACAAAAATTTATCATACACACGAAACAAAATATAACAAGAGATACGTCAAAATGAATCTCCAATGCATAATGTAAACGGTAGAGATTTAAAATGTAGATTAACTTAATCTCGTTTTCTTAATTTCACAATATAACCGTAGCATAAGAAACATCCCAGAATTGTTTGGTAACAAAAAATTTGAAGATTTATAATTCATTCTTGGTGAAACCATAAAATCATATCAAAGCAATTGATTTTCATTACAATCAAAAGATAAATAATGCCTTAACGTACATACTTTGACAATCCATTCTCCGTGAATTCGTAAAGTTGAACATTTAAATCAATTGTTTTTAATATTTTTTTAAATTTCTACTTGCTGGTATCGTAAAATGAAAAATGAAAATTAATTTTGTTCTTGTTTACGTTGTATTATCTGAAGAATGGGAAGAAAAGCAAACGAAGGACCACTTCTTTTTTATTTGATTTTCAATTTTTGTTATTTCTTTGGTTTTTTTCTAAGACTCCAATATTTTTCATATTGGACACTTCACAGTAATAAGAATCAGCTGATGTTCTACCGAATGCCGAAAAAATTTATCAGCTTTGATATCCTGATAATTCTGAAACATCTTGTACCTGTTTTAAGCCAGCATTAGTTAATTACTATTAAGAGAGCTATTAAAGTTTTTTTAAATGGTGCTGCAGCTGGCCGTTGTAATTTATAATTACAGACGAGTCATATAGTTTTGTTTTTGTTTCTCTTAAATTTACCTAATGTATAAACCAAGTACGCTCTTCTTTATACATGACACAAACCAATTAGAACAGTTGTGCAAATTTTAGAACAAATTATGCTTGCTTTTCTCATAATATCACAGTATACTTTTACTGTAAAAAAATACAACCCTGCATTTATGGCATTTATTGCCTTTTGTATTTTAATTAATGCTATTTGTTAGCATTATGAGTATATTGAGGCAGCCATATTAATATAAGGAAATGTTAACTGCATTTTAACAAGCAATGTAAGCAATGTCCTGCTTCTTCTCTGCTAATCATATATGACAGCTCCTTATCTGTTCATAAAATATTTGTTTTTTTTGTAACAATTTCATGTCCTTATTAATAAATTCTCACAAAAAAAATTTAATGCCAACCACTACTATTAATTATATATAGAAATACAATCGAAATCATTGGACCGACAAAATTAAGTCGCTATAACCGATAGTCGCTGTAAGTAATATTTAAATAATTGTTTTATGTTTTATTATTTTTATTTTTAAAACACCAAATATCGAATAATATCGTACATGTGATATGTTATGTGTACGATAAAAATTAATATAAAACACAAATTTAAGATAAGATGTTGACATTTCATAAAAAAGAAATCAGTAATATTCGATTGAACATTAAATTTTGAATTTATAAATTTTGTGTTGAGTTCATTTCTTATGCGAGATAGACTGTTTAAATAATAAACATTTTTGCAACACCTCAACCGCTTCACCTCAAAGGCCTTAGCTATTGGAGGACACGCAAAAGGTGTATTATCGCTTAGATAATCGCTATCCGCTTCACATTCACCTCGTACAGCTGTGATCGTTGTTATATTCCCCGCATATATAAAGGTAATCGCGAGATCACCTTGTTGAAAATACGAGATTTTCAACAGCTGCGACGAAAGCCGGTGTTGGGCTACGTGGCGATAAATATATTGTTTTCATTTCAATTTGAAATGGACCTTAAAAAAACCTTTATGGTGAAAATAGTTTGATATTGCAGTAGGTTTTACGTCATTCCATGATGCTTCCTACATTAAAATTATTCCCAAAGCATCTAGTTGCGGTTCGTTGGAATTATCAATTATCAATGGAGTTATCAATTTTAAAACTTGTCGATTTCTATAATTCGTGATTTTTTATTCAATTCAATGATTTCATTACGCCTTGATCCATAGGCTGTAGTATTGATGTAACTTTCGATGGCAAAAAAACCAATTCGATTGGGTTTAAACCTATTACATGGCAATGAGAAGAACAATTTCCGACTACAAAACATATTTTTTTGCTTTATTTTGAAAGACTTTTATTCCAATCACTTAACCATTTCTCAAAAAGTCTTGTAGTAGTCCATGCCTTTGTATTGTATTCGTATTCAACCGGAAGGTTATGAACATTCTTAAAACATCTTGTACTTTTCGATTTTCAATTACGGAAAGCAACTTTTTTGATGTTCCAGACATGTTGACAGCCACCATCAAGTCAATCGATCTTTTAACAGTTTTCCATTTGAACATTTTTCACCCTTAAATTATGCATCACACTAGTTTCGTCGGCAATAAAGATTTTGTAAGCAGAGTACTCTACGCAGAGTTAGGGTCAAATACTGTGCAGCTTAGCTTTTTCTGTTCACATTTTAAATGTAGAACATATGACAAATATTTTAAATTTGGTCATTTCCCTTGTGGGAAATTTATTCTTAAGAGTTGCATTCGACATTTTTGGTTTATTTTGCTAACTATATTTTCAAGTAAGTTAAAAAGCAGGGAAGCTCTTTATATGGTTAATGAAATTTACTAAGCAATCACAAGTAAGTTCACTGATGTAACGAAGCCACCAGTGGATACATGCAATTCGATCCTCTAATGCACCTATTCACCTTGTCACTCTTTAATGGGAATGCATTCATGTACAAGGATATGGAGTGTTTTCCTCACTGGCAATTCACTTCTCAGAATTTTTTTTTATTTTCTTAAAAAGTAACCTTTATTAATTTCAAACCTCTTAATTAATTTATTACAAATTTTATTGCTTAAATATTGCTCTGTTCTTATTATTCACAATTTCACACACATTGTATATAATACAATGTGTGAGCTTCACACTTGGCAGGACCCAAGTTCAATTCCTGGTACTTCCTGCTACGAATAATTAAATACAAGAATTATTTCCAAGACCACTGATGATGGGTATTTGGCAATACTCGAAACAGCTGTATGGTCAGCCAAAAATTAATTAAAATAATATAAAAATTAAAATTTTTGTTGTTGTAGTTCACTACTTTTCGAAAAACCTCTTTATGAAATATAATATTTTATAAATTTTCCGAGTTTTCCATTTTAAAAGATTTATTTTACGCAATACCAACATTTTTCTCTTACAATTAATATGAAAACAAACGAACGCTAATTAATAGCTTTTTTGACTAAAAATATAAATCATTAATTAATGCCAACGCTCAGTTTTTAAATTCGTTAATATAAATGATTCAGTGCATAATAGTATATTCACACTGTCTCATTTAGGCACTTTATATAAATGAGTGAACGTTCGCATTATAATGAGGTCATTTATGCAGCTCATAGAACTTTTATAAATTTCATTTAGAATATAACACAAAAAAGGGTTTTGTTTGTTAATAGCTGTCAATTGTTGTTGCTTTCAATGCAAAATGAAAATTTTTGACAGCTAAAAATACAAAAAAGATTCTCATGTGAATAGAATATAACTTTCAGTTCCTTTTACTTATCTTCTTTGCTAGAAACATTTTCTCTACATAACATATGTTGCATAAATTACGTATTACGAGAGTCTACTGTATTTTCAGTAAGGCTGCGATTACATTGCATGCGAATTTTGTCTTGCATGTTCGTACGAACAAATTAAATGTATGGAATCATATGTAAGTGGTTACAGTTGCTAAGAACTATTCGCGCGACTTCTTGTCTTTCTCATGCGAATATTTGATTAAACAAAATATTTTGTTTGAAATTAAAAGTGTAAATAATGAAATTGAGAGGTGTGAGTTATTTTGACGTAATTTTAAATTTATAAATGGAAATAAATTTGAAAATACACATTACTTTTAGGAAATGGATTGCGATTTGTTAATTTCTTTGTTTCAGGAATAGACAAACTCTCCATTTTTATACCTTGAAGAATAAAAATCATGCACCCAAATTCATCTTTTGTCATTTGAAATTAATAAATAACTTGATATTAATTAAATAACTTTCCGCAAAATGTATTTCAAATTCGCTATCCATTTTGTTTTCAAAGCAAACAAAACAGAACTGTCAATTCGCAAGCAATGTGACCGCAACATGCGATGTGTTCGCATGAGAAAACATACGTACAAACACGCAAAACACAATATGCATGCAATGTGACCGCAGCCTAAAATAAATGTCTTTTATTTTGTGTACAGCGGCTCTGCTGTTTTGACAGTTTTGCCGGTTCGCCGATTCGCGAATGTCTTTGACTTTTGCTAGTTTTGCTTTTTTTGATGCTGTAGGGAATTGAAGAGTAATATTAGGATGTTAGCGCCGATAAAACATGTATTAGCTAAAAAGAATATAATTTTGGCAAGTGGTTCACCAAGAAGAAGGGAGTTGTTGAAATCTATTGTAATAGCTTTTAACTTTTATATCTCAAATATTTGTGTATAATATATATGAAATTATATGTTTCAGGGTCTAGACGCAACAGCGTGTGCTTCTTCGTTTGAGGAAAACCTCAATGTTTCTGATTTTAAGGAATTCGGCGAGTATGTGGTAGCAACGGCTTTAGGAAAGGCTGACGAAGTGTATGAAAGGTTGCAAACAGAAACAAATGAAGACATTGACAATTTAGTGGTCATAGCAGCTGATACAATGGTGACGCTGGGCGACCAAATTTACGGTAAACCAAAAGATGCTGCAGATGCAGTGCATATGTTGACGAAGTAAATTAAAAAATTGTTTTTATTGTGTTAATTATTATTTGTTTAAATATAAAACATTTTTTTTAGTTTATCTGGCAAATGCAACCGCGTCTATACTGGTGTAGTTATAAGGCACAAACAAGGTGCGCATAAATTTACGGACACTGCTGATGTTTACTTTGGCAATTTGACCAAGCAACAGATACAAGCTTATGTAGACAGTGGTGATCCGTTGTCAGTATTAAAATATATATTCATTTTAGTGAAATTTTAATTTGTGGCAATCTTTTTTGTAGAGATAAAGCAGGTGCTTACGGTATAAGTGGACCAGGTGGTGCAATGATTTCGAGAATAGATGGTGATTTTTACTGCGTTATGGGCTTACCTATACATCGTCTTTGCGTGGCGCTATGTGACATTTTCGCTGACGAGGCTATTAACTTAGATTCACCAGAATAATTATTCATTAACTTTACTTGTGTGTTGAGGCTACGGTAACTTTCAATCTCAATTATAATTTTTAAATTTTGAAGTCTGTGTTTTGGTCAATTTGTCGTGTATAATTCAGGTAGACTTTTATAAACAGGAGAAAAAGTTGGTTTTGGTGGAAAATCATAAACACAAATTTATGGGCTTACGTCCCGGAACTGCAACTTCAACTCAACTGTAACCAACGACACTCGCTCATGTCTGCGTTGATGAGCTAAAAAAGTGACTATGTTTCGAATGATTACATTCGTAAAGTTGAATTTACAGAGTCTGTGGAAAAAAACCTTAGCCTATAATTATTTTTGAATTAAGTTTTTATAATAAATTGGTAATTTTTATGCATTATTTAAACACACACATAAAATATATGGTTGTTTAAAGCTACTGCCAGGAAACCTAAAGCTATCTCGGAACTTTTGTAATTTTATACGATGCTTTTAAGATGACTGTAGTAAGTAAGACATTAAAGAAGTGGTACTACTTTCACAACTATATACGATAGATTAACTATAATTATAATTCGTTAAGGTTAGGTTATGCCTGCGATTCTAAGGATCTACATTGTGTTACCACATAAGAACTCAAGATTTAAAAACCATCTTAAACCTTTGGTAAGCCTAAAATGTTTCCTAGGGGGAGCTCCTATATATTATGTTAAATAGGCCACTTAGAATAGAATAGAATGGAATAGAACTGAACGGGGTATTAGCTCCCAACGGAGCGGATCACTGCGACCAGATTGATCTCCTGTGCTGCAACAGACCCTAACCGAACAGAAGATAGGTCACTTACTTATGTCAAAAGAAAAATGATTCGATGTTCGATTGAAATACTTTCAATTCGTGTTAGATTAGCGTTTGCTAAAACTTATTGATTTGTTAGTGTCAAATTTTTTTTTATAAATATGATTTCCATCAATGATATTCGTATCTGAACCAACATTTTTTTAAGATTTCTTATCAACTTGTCTTCTATAACGAAGATTAAATCGCCTTACTTTAAAAATTTATATTCTTCACAGCAGACAGTGCACACACTGATGCGCTCGTGTGTAGATAACACATATCATCTCTAAGCGCAAACAACACGAAAGGCCAGAAGATAAGTGTAGCGCAGTTCTCATTTAAATCTGTGGAAGTGCACATGCCTTCAAAACATCTTACCAGTTGTTATAGTTTATGTGTAGTCTCTAACTAAAGTCAATCTTATTTGAACTGAACATATCTCATTTAGTGATGGCGCAACAATTATGGGGAGGACGTTTCGGAGAGAATGGAGGCCAAACATCAGATTGTCTAACAACGCTGAACTGTAGTTTGCCTACAGATGCGCGCCTGTTTGCAGATGATATCGATGGTAGCAAAGCGTACGCAGAGGCTTTACTACGTGCTGGCTACTTAAAAACGTTAGATTGTGAGAAAATATGTAAAGGTTTAGAATTAGTGCGTTTCGACTGGATTGAGGGTTGGATTAAATTTTTAAATACCGATGAAGATGTACATACAGTGAACGAGCGACGTCTATGTGAGGTTGTCGGTGAAGTAGCGTTACGTTTGCATACTGGACGTAGTCGCAACGATCAGGTAGTTACGGATCTTAAGCTTTGGTTACGTAAAGGCATACGAGAGACTATTACCAGCTTATGCGGTGTTATTAAGGCTGCCATACAACAGGCTACGGTACATATTGGTGTTCTTATGCCTGGGTATACTCATATGCAACGTGCTCAGCCTATACAGTTTTCTCATTGGCTATTGTCACATGCATTTGCACTACGTGAGGATTGCGTGCGTTTGACTGAACTACGAGAACGTGCAAATATCATGCCATTGGGAAGTGGGGCAATGGCTGGAAATCCGCTTGGTATTGACCGAGTATGGTTGGCGAAACGGTTGGGTTTCTCTGCAGCTACGCAGAACAGCATGCATGCAGTAGGCGATCGTGACTTTGTGGGTAAGTAAATAACCAAACAATGAAGACAAGTTATCATATATAGTTTTCTGTGTATTTTTCGATAAAACAAACAATGCTTTTATTTTTAATTTAATTAGCACGCAAGCAAACTTTATGACAATCTAGTATTAACAACATGATTATTGTCGGTTAAGACCAACACTGTCAAATGAAAAATGTTATTATGTATGTGTTTGTTCTCTCGTGAAAACTCTGGATGAAAAGTATTTTACTCTATAAGTAATGTATAGAGTAGAGCTAGTCAATTAAAAGCACCATTCATTAGATCGTAGTGTCGATATAATTATCAAAAGGTATACCATATGTTGTGTAAATATGTTATAATTATATACCATACATATATATGGTATGTTTCCGCTAATCTTAACAATTATGTTTCAAAGATTGTCCAGATTTCTGATAAGTTCGGATTACCGTTGGGTTTTTAGTTTTAATAATTATATAATAATATATATATATATATATATATTTATTATAATTAATTACAAAATATAAAATCTTATAACTAAGATAAGAAAAACGAGTGCTAGCTGCCAGAGCCTTTAGCTCGGATATTATAAATTAAATTTTATTTACTAGGGTACAGGCTTTAATATATTTATACATCAAAAGTATATTTTCGACAGTAATTGTTTATAATAGGCTGATCGGTAAGATATTAGGAAAGATATTACTACGAATAGAATTAAAAGAAGGGCAATCGTTAAGTTCATGTTCTATGGATGGTGTGCTATTACAGAATGGACAGTTTGATGGCTGATCGCCACTCAAAAGATGTCCATGAAAAAGCTTCTTGCATTGTTGACGAGTGCATGATTGCGGATATATAGCTTTTAAACCACTGGTATTTATCGATTTGTAGCGATGGTTGTTTGCTTATAAAGTTTAAAACGTCTTTTCTTTCGGATGTCTTAAATAAGAGCAAGGGAGAGCGAATGACGACAGAGGCAGATTGATCTGCTAGTTCGTTTCCTTTAAGTTCTGCGTGCCCAGGAAGCCACATGATTTTAATTTTGTTTAAAAAACGTATGCAGTTGTGTCTGGTATTGCAAATAAGTTCGGTGTTATTATTGATATTTTTTACAGCTTCAATTGTAGATTTGCTGTCGGTACATGTTAGAAATTTGCCTTTGTTGCCTTTGTCTGTGTACAATAGAGTCCAATTGTTTTTTATATAGCAATCAGAAAATTCTGCAAATAGTTGTTTATACATTTTGGTGGTTGTGTTACTTTTTCTATAGGTTTGCAGGTCGATTACAAAAGATGTTGGGCTAAGAAACCAAGGGGGCTCATGATTTTGTATCGTACGATGAGGTTTAATGTCGAGGTCGATAAATTTAGCATATTCAATACACCGCACAATTGTCGACTTAACTCTATTTGTTCGCTTTTGATGGAATACATTTACAACGTCTTTATGTAAAATAGCGTTGTTGCTGCACAGTAGTTTAGGAATAAGTTTATAAGTTGTTGACTTAACTCGATTTGATATTGTAGGTAGCCCAGCTTCTGTCAATAAGTTTTTGGTTAGAGTTGTGGGGAACGCAGCAATACTTCTTCGAACGGCAGCATGATAGGGTGCATTCAACTGTCTGATATTGCTAATATATATGTTATATAGCCATTGAATAATATAATTATTGTGTGATCGAAAGCCACAGTGTAAGACTTGAACCCACTAAAACCACCTCTTAGGAATGAAATGAGAGGATTTCTACAGCAATGTGGAAACTTCATTCCAGTAATCATGAGAGAGAGGAATGAGAAAATAGATTTAATACCTAATGAACTAGGCTCATCTAAATCAGAAAGCAAGGGCATGAACTAGATAGGAAAGGCGATATAGAAGGGGAAGGGGTTACGGCTAACTAGCGGGGGTTAAATCAACAATATACTTTGTGACTAGGGTCACGAAAGCCGCGGTTATATAAGGTGATAGTGGAGAGGTTGTGGTCCACTTCATCGAAGTAGTGGGTCAGGTATTGAGGAGGCTTACAGCGCAAAGCTAGAACAAGGTCTTCTGGAGGAGTGAGAGGAGTAGACACGTCGGAGGTAAGGTCATGGAGCCGAGTGAGATACCTACGGGCGAGTGACAGAAGATACTCGTCAACTCGAGTGATCTTGGCATTGTTATAAAGAGTTGATATGGAGAAGTGCTTGGCATTACGCTTGCGCTTATAGTTATTGCAATCGCGGAGAAGTTTCCGCTCAAACAGGCGGATTCTTTCCATCTGAGCGGAAGTGATGGCTGACCAAATAGGGAAAGCGTAAGTGAGGAGAGGACGAATAAGCTGCTTATAGCAAAGCAGCATAACTTTGCAATTAAGCTGGTTATGTCTTCGAAGTGCAGTTTTAAGTTGAGTATGCCTGAACCGGGCGTTACGGAGGGCATGTAGTATAAAGTTATGCTTGGATGAGAAAATAATGCCAAGATATTTCAGCTTGGGAACAAGCTGAATTGGAGAGTTATTAAGCCTGAGCTTAATGTTAGAGTTGCTAAAACCTCTGAAACGATCACGTTGTTGGCCAGTAAAGGCAATGGCAGAGATCTTGGAGGGATTGAGTTTAATTTTCCACTTGGTATAGTAGTCAAAAAGAGATTTAAGGTGGGCATTAAGCTCATTGGAGACGCGGTAAGGATTGTGAGTTTATGCATGATATCTACCTATATACCTATATACAAGGAAACATTGTTGATAAAATTGTTCCTATATAGACAATAAATAAATTTGTAGATTTATAGACAATGTCGGATTATAGACACGATGTCGGATCGGGTATAATGGAACTCGAATGTTTGGATGGAGCACTTTAAATGTTCGAAATTGTTCGGACAGTTCACCTGCTCAATGTTTCATTTTGATTTTGTATGTTCACATTATCGAACATTTAAATTCTCGAAGCCTTGATGAGAGCGAATAATAGTTGTTAAATACATTAAAAATTTGTATGAAATTACAAAAACAACTGCTTTATATACAAAATGTTTTTCACATTTTCGTTTTTAAAAATATCATGCACGCCGCGTGAGTTTGTTTTTGTTTTGTTTTCAAAAATAAAAGTTATTTTTAATTTTTATATTTTGAAGACAAAAATAATAGTTATTTGTGCGTGAAAAAATAAAAAGCAGAGTGTAAGGGTTTTTTGTGCGTGAAAAATAAAAGGCACATGATAATAATTCTGATAATTATTATAAATATAATATAAAGCAAATATAATTATTATTTTTGGAGTTTTATATTAAAATGCGAATGATAACAGTTATGAAACACTGTGTGTATCGACGTGGCATGAATTCAGATTATATATACAGTGACTCACAGCTAATTTGGTGCAGACAAAGTTTTTTTGAAAAGTTTTATTTATTTCAAAATATTTTGCAAATATTTTGTAAAATATTTTCAGAGCTTTTTTTTGCTGAAAAGGAAAGTAGCCACTAAGAATAATATTTTAGAGTTTAAAAAGCTTTTTTTAAAAATCCAACCAACTGGATGGACTGCCGGATATGATTCCATAAAAATTAATATAGGTAAACACAAAGGATACAATAAAGGTTAATACAATAACTAAATAAAGCGATAACAATTGAATTATAAATTTTTGGTAAATTATAGCAAATTCTTTAAAAGCATATAGAGTTTTCGAATAATTTCAATCATACATTGTTGCTTGTTTAAGTTCTCCACTTCTTGGCTTTGTTAGATAGAGAAGTTATACAAAGTTTGAATTGTTGCGTCTACGTGTCTGACCTACAACATAATCAACTTAAACATCGCGTTTGAACATCTTGTTCGAACATATGAAAGGTTGAAACATTAAATGTAAATATTGAAATAAAGTAGCACTTCCTTCTGGAGTGTAACTGAATTACACTGAAATAGATTAGTCTCAAAAATATGTTTGTAGCTAAGATGATCGGTATAACCCCTTCTATCCTTTATTAGCTGCGAAGTAAACATTTTACAAAGGGATAATCTGCTTGTTTTATCGTAAACATTTTTCCATAAATTTTAATACATTTCCTACCATATTATTTTACTTTCAGTTGACTTCATTTACTATTGTTCTCTTGCTAGTTTGCACCTCTCACGTTTGGCAGAGGATCTTATAATTTATACCACAAAGGAGTTTGACTTCATAAAGATCGCTGATGCATTTTCAACTGGTAGCAGTTTAATGCCACAAAAATGTAATCCTGATAGCTTAGAATTAGTGCGTGGCATTTCTAGTAGCATATGTGCTAATCTGACCGGTATCATGATGACTATTAAGGGTACACCAACAACCTACAACAAAGATTTGCAATTCGACAAACAATATTGCTTCAGTTCTTTCGATCAATTGCAGCAATCTTTAAGGGTAACCGAAGGTGTTATTCGAACAATGGATGTGCATAGACATCAAATGGAGTCTGCACTGAGTCCGGACATGTTAGCAACAGATTGGGTAAGATTCATTCTATGACGAGTTATTAGTTTTAAACGTGTTTTATATTTCTAGGCTTACTATCTGGTACGCAAGGGTATACCATTCCGTAAGGCGCATCATTATATTGGCGATGTAGTGGCGCATGCGGAAAAAATGGGCGTCGACATAACTGATATATCTTTGGGTGATTTACAAAAAATTTGCCCACATTTTGGTGTTGATATACTAAATTTAGTTGATTATCAAGTAAACGTTGAACAGTACAATGTGGTCGGTGGTACTGCTACCAAATCTATAACCGAACAACTGAAAGTGCTCAGTGTATTCGTGACTGATATGTTGAAATCGGCTTAGTTCTAACAAGCCCCGAAGTATCACTCAAATTATGCTACTTCAAGCTTAAAGGAAAATTGGTTAATATTAATAATAATTTGTTTTATTTGTTTTAGAAAAACTTTACATAACGGAAGCAGAAAATTTATTTTGTGTTGAATGAAATTTTCAAATTTTTTTCAAATTTGCTATTATTAAAATTATGCTATTGAAACATTGCTATTATTAAAAATATAAAAATATTTATTCAAATATTGACCTTTGAATGAAATTATATATATTTAATTTAAATAAGTAGTTCAAAAAATATTCTATAGTTTCAGTCTCAATATTAAAAGAGATCAGTTTAAATTATTTAAAGAAAATTGTTTATTAAGTTAAATCATGGATGCAAGCAGCTTAGCTCCACAAAAACTATATTTTCGTTCTAGTTAAAAAATACTTCAAATTTATATAAAGAAAATTAAAATATAAATTTAGTAATATTATGAAAAGAGTACTTTTGATCAGGACATCAGAACAGATCAGAACATTATAATAAATTGGAACCCACTAGGCTGAATGTTAAATTCTGATAACAGCGATATGACTATTTTATATATATATTATATAAATTGTTTTGTTTATATATGGAATTTGCGCAAAAAAACTATATAACAAAAATATGCTAACTCTTTATTATTGAAAAATATTATAATTAAATGTAATAATGATAAACTGTCTATTCTTGTATGGAGAAGGTTTTATAGTGAATAAAACTAACTTTAAATACAAATTTATTTTCAATTAAATAAATTCTTGAGTTGATCATTAATAATATGAATAGATTTAATTCTCTCCTGACACTTGCAGTTCAAAAATAAAATATGTACTATTAAGCCTGACCAATTGTATAGTCAGTTTTATATAAAAATATAATTGCATTTAATTAAAATAAATAATGTTTTAGGCCTTTGTACCAGTTTTCCACTCGCTTTAAGGTCGATCCACTCCTCTATATTTTGTAAACTAACACATTTGATTATTCTCTAAATCACGCCTCTCTTTAATTATGTTTTGCATTATTAGTTGGATCAATTAATACTAGAAGTAATGCATTATATGCCTTAAATATGTTGTACATGTATAAAAATATATGAATGCATGTGTTGTGTGTGTAATATTTTCTTAAAGTACATTAAACATTCAAAAACAAAAATTTCAATAATTTATTAATTGTTATAACATATACAGTGGCTCTCAGCTTATTTTATTCAACGCCAAATTTAAAATTCTTTACGCTATTACTTAAAAACTATGTTATCGATTGAAAATATTTAAATGCTATTTTTACATTGTTTAATATATATACCGCAGACACCCTCACCTTAAGCCCTGTGACAATGGCGCTTTATGCACATAACACGTGCTTGATCTGCTCTGCCATAAATGTAAGTAACACCTTACAGAGAAATATAGACCTCATGGTGGAAGACTTCCAGAAATGGAAGATTAAAATTAACAACGACAAAACCTAGGCTATATTTATAACACGAAAGAGAAGGCAGCATCCTGCAGGAGTGAGCGTCGGTGGCATGGAGATATGGTGGGAGAAAAGCATAAAATATCTAGGGGTCTCTTTTGACAAACGGCTTAATTGGTATAAACATATGAAATGCAAACGGAATAGTTGCTCTAAAATTCTACATCTCCCTAAGCCACTATTTAATAATAATCGCTTCAACCTCAAAAATAGAAAGTTATTATTTACTCAAATAATTAGGCCAGCACATACAGCAAGGCCTCAAATACTGCTATAAAGCAATTACAGATAGCACAAAATCGGGCTTTAAGAACACTAATTAAGATTTCTTGGTATATTAGAACAACATCATAGAGATCTAAGAATTGACTCAGCGAAAAAGTATATCAAGGACAAGGAGGCCTAAAATTGTTCACAAAAGTTGGTACGTTGCCCAACCCTGCTCTAACAAACCTTAAGTCCACCTCAGGACGCACAGGAAGATATGCTGATCTACGGTCTGTCATTAGTTAGAAAATAAATAAATGATAATGATTCTAGTATAGTTAAAGTTTAGTGTGGGGCAGGCATAAGCCCCGCAACCATAATAGAGTAAAAGTGCGCACTAACTCAAATCACAACAACAACAACAACAACATTTATTATTTGATTTAGAAACTTCAAAATTACCGAAAATATTGTTTTAATAAATAATTAACATAAACTATAAAAATACGCCTATTTTAATGACTCAGCTTATTTCATCCACGAAAAGAAATTTCTTTTGGTGTCAAAGTCAATACTTGGTATGGTACCCTTTCGCTTTTATCATTTCGTCAAGTCTCATCGGCATTCAACCTACAAGTTTTTAAGTTGTTTTTGGAGCAATTTTCATCCACTTTTGTAAACTAGCCTCTTTTAAGTCTTCTTTGTTGGTAATAGTATATTGCCAAATGTTTTGGTCCAATATTGCCCATAAATTTTTAATGACATTCATGTCTGGGCTTTGCGCCGGCGATGTCATCAGATATGGACAGTTCCAAATCAACCAAGACTGTACAAACCTGGCCTTATGTTTTGGGTCGTCGTCTTAGTAACAGCGAAATTTTTCAGGAATTCCTAGTTCCCCGGTACTCTGGAGTAAATTTTTTCCAAAACGTTGAGGTATATTGTATTGCCCATGTTACCATCATTAAACTCCAGATTCTCAATATCAGCGGCTGACATACAGACCCAAACCATAACACTTCCACGGCTATGCTTTACTGTAGCTTTTAAATTTTCTTTTTTGAGGTCAATATTAGATTTCCGCCACACGTGAGTTATGTCATCTGGGCTTGAAATATTGAATTTAGACTCGATTGAGAATATGAAGCCGTTCCAGAAATTTAAATTTTTGTGGGCATGCTCCTTAGCATAAGTAAGCCGACTGCTTTGATTTTTTTTGCTTATGTAGGGTTTTTATTTAGCGACCCCACCATCAAAATGGGAGTGTCAAACCACGCGGCGAACGGTTTTCGCACTGTACGTCTTGCCTAGTTCTATTCGTACCGTACCAACAACTATATCAGGAGCATTTAATTTTGGATTCCACTTGATTTTTCTAACATTATATCGCTCGTCAGCTGAGTTGAATATTTTATTTGGTGCACTTCTGTCCATATTTTGAGTCCTATTCTCACGAACAAGGCGGTTAATGATGCTCTGTACAGTGGAGTGACTGAAATTAACGAATTCCGCAATTTCCACTGAGGTTGACCGTCCTTAAAATGGGTTAGAACCAATACTCACTGCTCACTTGAAGTATGTACGTCGTTCCATTTTTAAAAAAATTATTTTTTTATTGTTGCACGTCAAAAATCACACAAAAAATTTATTTAATTTGATTGGAAATACTTTAAAAATATTACGGAAAAAATGTTCCGTTGCACAGCGCGACGTACTGGCGACTAAGTGCAAATGATAATTTGGATGAAATAAGCTGTGAACTATAATTTTGTTACGCGATCGGGTTTTTCCCCTTTGAGCGAAACAAAAACTAATTTTATGTACTTTATTTATTATGTTCAATAAATGTGCCTCACTTACATTAAAATCTTGATTGCTTTCTAATTCATTTTTAAGATATGGTGTTTTAAAAATCTAAAACATTGTATATTCATGTGATGTTGTTGTTATTACCCGCTAGGACCTACTTGTGAAGCCTTTTTGAAGGTGTTGAACGGTATATGGTCGTCGGCTAGCGACGAGTGGTACCAAGACGTAGGCCCGGCCGTTCTTTAGGAACCATATACATGTAATAATATAGGATAATATAGAAAAATTATGTATCTGCAGCATCAATAAATTATAAATTTGTAAAATATAAAAAAGTGTACCTATTGGAAAAAAATGTATATACTTTACGAAATTAAATAAGTAATTTGGCCATGACAACCCAGTTTTAACGCTTTTTGAACTCGACCGAACGGGGTATAAATATGTATCTCATCTAACGTTTCTGATGTGTTTTGACCTTCTTAACTGTGCGATAGAGCTAGGTTAGCTGTGAAAAATACATGCCAAATGTTACTGAACCAACAATTCTGAATGTAGAATCAAAAGGAGATGCTGTTCCGATAATACTATCATTTATGCTGTAACCAACTTAACCGGTGCTTCTTTAAAAAACTCAACACCTAAGTTTTCAAATGGAATCAATTGTTTTCGTAGAGACGGCAATTCAGGCAAAGTACAGCCAGTTATAAATATACTGCATTACATCTATTAAATCTGATTAACAGGCATGTAATGGGAATGCAAAATACAATATGAAATGTACTTGTTTTCATTGGGTTAGCATGGTACTCCCAGGAGTTTGAGATCCACTTATGCTAAATAGCCCATTATGAAACATAAGTTTTTAAATCTGATATACAATACAACAAAAAAAAAAAACATACAAAATGTATTTATTGCAACAAAAAATATTGTTACAAATTATAATTTCGGAACTGATTTATTTTTATACTTTGAGATATACAGAAAATTATAAAGTTTAATACAAGGCATTATTAAATATATATATATAAAATATATTTATAGCAAAATTTATAGCATTATTTTTTATATACCTAGTTGTAGATGCGATTTATGTATATTTATTGTAAGAACCTCGCATACTACTCCTAATTAACACTTGGACTACTTGGTGTGTAAGTTACCGGATCATGTTCAATATACATTTCCGATTTCTCGAGTTGTGTGTAACCTGTCATAGGTGAGTTCAGTGGTGGTGTTACTTTGCCACCGGATATTAGCACTCCCAAACTTTGTTGTAACTGCCAGCGACGAGCCTCACGTATGGACTTATTACGCCGCAATGTTTTTGCTAACATGAAAGCACAGAAAACGCCTAAAAGCTGAAAAGAGTTAACAAATAAAATTAAGATCCACTCTGTATATACCATATATATGCATGTTTATATACCTGTACAAATGCTACAGTTGTGGCGCCAGTGGCAATAAGCATGGTACTCTGCGAAATTATGAACTCCATGCGACGCAAGCAGCCATATTCATATTGGACTTCGCACTTATCTGGTTGAGTCTCAGACATGCGTCCACAGCAAGAAGGAGGAACCGCAATTTCATTATAATCTTCATTGATATCAGATTGATTTAGATATGGTTTCCAATCAGCTGGACCTACAATACCACAGCATTCAAGCTGTAAGCGATCGTGTAAATATTTAATATTGAATTCTATTTTTGTAATATTCATATATTTTTACTTACGCCAGTCTGCATAAAGTCCACACCTTGTTCCAAATATTCATTGGTTTCGTATTCGGCCAAAGCGGAGGTCATTGTGCGTTCCAGCATTTCGCTTACTTGACTTTGCATGACGAATGCTGCGATGGCAGCCGCAACCTCTAAAATGAACACTAAGAAGAGGAATACGCCATACTGTAAATGTATGAAGTGTAAGAAATTTGTGGAAATGAACGATGTCTGGTGTGTCAACCTACCAAGTTGATGATAAGCACGCTCTCTTTAATAGCGCCGTAGGCCCCCAAAATGGCTACGGCAAGCAATATAAAACCAATTGCAATAATTAATGCTGGTGGAGACAAGAAGTACTCATCAATGAACTGACGGAAGTCGCCGAATATTGCTTGAATAGTTGAGCCAACCATAACTAGTAAGATAGCGGTCAACTATAGAATTAATAATTTTTAATTAATAATATATTTAAAATTATAATATATATGTAAGTAGATAATCTATACTTAAACGTGTATTAAACTAAAGTAGATATAATTGATTTGATAATACATTTAAAATTTCTATCTCACTTTTTAATAATAAATATACGACATTTAATAAACCTTTTAAATCGTTTTTTAGTAGTTTCCATCTATAACCGCATGTCAACTATTACTAACGATATTAAAAATAAGAAATTTATCATTTTTGAAATACAAAAAGAAACATTTCATTTCCACTAGAATCAAGGTATAAATATGGGAGTGGGGAATGACTCTTCTATCTTATCTATTCCATCTATTTTTTTTATATATTCCATCTATTCATGGTTAAAAATATTGCCTTTTCAACTTTTCAGAAGCAGTACCTTATGAAGCCACATATAATTCACTTGTGATTATAGATTACCATTAAGTAATTATAAATTAAGAGAACAACTTGACCTTAACGCTCACATTTTTTCTAGTATATTGATGAACTGTAATACCATTGTTTTTTTACGGGCTAATTGGTCAGTATTACTACTGAACTGCAAACTGCAAACCTTTATAAACAAATGCCTTAGGAGAATTCTAAAAATTTGGTGGCCCCGCACTATTAGAAATTGCAAACTATGGTCAGCGATGGCCAACTTCCTATGGCAAATGAAACCAAAAAACGTAAATGGCAATGGATCGGGCACACTTTGAGGAAGGCACCAAATGAAATCTGCAAACAAGCATTTACATGGAACTCACAAGGAAGCAGAAGACCTGGTAGGCCCAAGCAAACGTGGAAGCGAACACTGGAGAAAGAAATCCAAGCAAGCGGAAAAAGCTTGAAAAAAAATCGTGACAGTTGGAAAAAGTTCGTTACGGCCCAATGTCCTGGAATGAAGAAGAAGACCATCGACCAATTTTTTACCTAAACCTATGCATATATGCTTGCAATTTTGACAGCTTCTTTGTTTGTTCCTCATGTGGGTGTGGTGTGCTGTAAACACAGCTGTTTTATTTTAATGTTGCAATTCTGCAATAGAGGTGTTCTCACACTCTTGCAATTTTAGTATAGCATTCTTGCAATTTATGCGCTTTGCAATGACTTTGGAAGACAGAGTGCATACTCCTAATTAAATTAAATTTTGTTGCAAATTTTGTTGTTGTATACAAAAGTGTTTAAAAACGATTATATTTGTAAGTAAGTTCGTTCATATGTGACTAAAAGAAACACGAGTGAAGAAAGGCGTTCCTATACAGACGATACACTATGTACGTACCCATGCGGATTTGATATTTATATATACTATATAGTATACAGTCCTAATCTATACAGTTCTACAATCCTGAACAATTGTAAAAGTACATATAATGATTATGGAATAATGGTTATGTCTGTATTCGTTGAGGTTGAAACAATTAAAGTTCGAGAAATAAATTTGAATTTCAAGAACTCAAATTGTTTTAAAATAGTTTCAAACAATTGATCGAGCTATTAGTTAAGATACATATTGAACGAAAGTCATTGTCTTCTATAGGATGACTTTGAAGACAGTTTCAGGGAGTTCATTGAATTATTAGTTGAGATACTTAACTATACTTAACTATAGTAAACGACTTTTATAATAAAGATTAGTGGTTTATTGTTGCATATGAGAAGATCTCTAATATATTGTTGAAGATATACCATAGATAATTGTGTTGTAATAATAATTACAATTAAATTGTTTTCTCATAATAATTATTATCCTGAATTATAAATATTATTTACATTGCTTATATCTAAATATTTTACCTATATATATGCAATGAGTACACTTGGAAACATATCTTCTGCTCAAAAAGTATCCGGATTTGATGTTTGTTAACTACTCCTTAAATAATAGACCTTTTACAAAATTTTTTTTTTAGAAAGGTCTATTCTGGATATATGGTACAAATTTGAGCACCATCTGTCAATTAGTTTGTTTACAGCAGCTGTTAATATGAGACTACCTCAAGTGCATTTAGCGATTTTTACTATGGAAAATTTTTGTTGTACGCGATTTTTTGACCATACACGGCACCACTGTCATCGCTCAGGTATCATATTCACCAGATCTGGGTCCGAGCGACTTTTTCCTGTCCCCGAAACTCAAATTGCCCCTTCGTGATTCGGTAAAAGAGAATTCGCTGAAGGAACTAAAAGCCATACCTACACGGGCCTACGAAAAGTGTGTGGAGGATTGGGGTAAGCGTTGGCATATGTGTATCGCTTCAGAAGGAGCAAATCCGAGTACTTTTTGAGCAGAAGGTATATGTAGAAGGTATATTAACTACTATCGAAATGTTTACGTAAAAGTTATGGGAATGTATGCGTCAAGGTGAAGAAATATTTTGAAATCAGAATTATTATCTTAATGAGCAAATATTTTGATAATGTAAAAAGTGTTTATTTCACTTTTTGTGCTCATACATGAATACACAATTCGGGCCAAAGTATGAAAGTATCTCTATCTGCTTGCGTTAGTATTGCAAATGAATAGTTGAAGTTGAAAAAAACCGATAAGAGATATTCAGTCAAAAGCGATATGCGGTATAAAAGCTTATAAATTCATGCGAAAATTGTTTTATGTATCTAATATGAGTAATTCAAAACTATAATTTAGTAATGTAATAATAAAGTAGAAGCCATTCTGCAATGTTTTGAAAAAAAAAACTTAAAGAATAGAAGAGTTGAGTTTGGGTTTACTAGAGTTACAAATTAGTACACGTATTCATTATAGTTTGTCTGACATCTATAAAACTTTCATCGTTCATTCTTAGAAGTGATATAGAACTTGATAGTATATCACCATTCGTTTACCCTGACGAGTATTGCGAAAATCCTTTCGTAACAGCTGTTATTTTGGAAAACGTTTACTCTATGCATGATATATTCAGATCAAAATAAATATGCGGTCTTTAATTATGGAGGGTATAGTTATGCAATAGTTGGAGGCAGACATAAATAATATTACTTGAGGTAACGCCTATGTAGGAAATTTAATAAGTTGTATAATTTAATAAGACTTAAATTAATAAATGTCTATATCGAATCTACATAATGAATCGAGTAAAGTGGACCTGAACACTAACGTAATGAAGACTAAAATAATGCGCATAAACACCAGCAATCAGGATAGCCTATTGTCAACAATATGTCTTAGAGGAAGTACAGAGGTGCGAGTATCTCGGCAGTGTTGTTGGTATTGATGGTGGAACCATCATGAATATTGATTCCCTTCTACGAAATGTAGAAAAAAGTATATTTGCGCAACTTAAGAAAGTATGGAGATCAAGTACAATAAGTTTTAAGACTAAGATCAATATTTTTAATGCATGCGTCAAAACACTTGAACAAATTTCAAGAAAATGCAAACGTTCCTAAACAGAAGTTTGAGGCACATTATGCACATTTGGTTGCCGGCAACTATCTCGAATTCAAAGTTATGAAGAAGGCAGAACAACTCCCAGTGGAAGAAGAAGAAATCAAAAAGTGTAAATATCAATGGCTGGTTCAAGCAGTTAGAAGACCAATCAATGATATCTCTCATGTTGTACTGGAATACAACCCAGAGGGCCAACGCCGGACAGGTCGTCAGATTTTAACGTAAAAGAGAACGGTTGTGAGCGAAACGAACAAAACGATGAATCAGCTCAGAAACATAGCGAGAAACAGGAATGAATGGAAAGAATTTGTGAAAAAATTTTGTAAATAGACTAAGTTTGTGATGCCCTCTATCTAAATTACAAATGCCAGGATTATACAGGATTATTGTTTAACTTATTTTGACAGTTTTGTAAATAATGCTTAGACATTACAATAAACTATGAAACTTTGATTAACTAGTTCCAACTCGTTACTAGTTATTAGTTAGTTATGTGGTTGTTTTGAAGTGATTCGAACGCAACAATAGTTGCTTCCATTAGTTCTATACATCTGTTCAATACATCTGTTCAATTAGATGCTATGGGTTTGGAAGAATGATGAATAGTTATTCTCTATAAAGTAATGTGGACTAAATTAAGTAAGTAAAAAAAAAATAAAATACTAAGAATATTTAAAATAAAACGTTTCACTTTATATACGACATTGGTATCATAACGTCACTATACATAACGTCACTATTTTGAAATAGTCAGTAATGCCAGTAATTTATTTATTGAGCTTTTGAATTCAATTTTTGTATTTTTTCCATAAATAATTGCTTTGAAAATTAAAATAATAAAATAAAAACAATGAAAAAGCATTTGTTAAATGTTGTTCGAATGTGTTGTGCAAACGACATTTTATAGATACTCGTATTAGTTTCTGTTGCGATAATAATATTTGTCTATAATGACAAATATAAGTGACTCATTATTTCGCTACAGATCTCTTTCACAAATGCATGAAACGAAGTACTTTAAAAATATTTCGCAAATATATTATAAAGTTATGTGATTGGGTTGAATTGATGAGGTCTATTGCTTTAGTATTCAACCCACAATATGAGTATTTATTTTTTACCTGATATACTTCCAAATTAGTGTGGTTTTTGAAGTTTCAATTCTATCATCAACACTCACATATACGTGTTAGATTAGTTAAATTAGAAGCCATTAGAAGTACCCATACTACCGATGAATATGCACTTCATTCCAATTCAATCCTATTCGGCAAGAAAGGTAATAAGAATATATAGAGCTTTAACACATTTGTTAAAAGGGATAACTCATCTCTCGACAAAGTCCTTTGGTAGACAATAGACTTTTACTGTGTCTATTCTTCATTTAGCTAACCTAACCAGCACCAACCACAATAACTGATGTATTAGAAAGTATAATGGAATATACTAAATGTATATTTTTAAAACATCACTGATATTGGATGGCTTCTATAAATAGTGATTATGAAATAAAGTAAAATAAAATAGCCTTAAAATTTGTTATGATACTAAACTCATTTAGTCAAT